GAAACTTCTGTGAGCTAAAAGAACATGTTCTAACCCAATGCAAAGAAACTAAGAACCTTGAAAAAAGGTTTGACGAAATGCTAACGAGAATAGACAATTTAGAGAGGTATATAAGTGAATTAATGGAGCTGAAAAACACAACACGAGAACTTTGCAAAGTATACACAAGTTTTAACAGTTGAATTGACCAAGCAGAAGGATATCAGAGGTAGAAGACCAACTCAATGAAATAAAACGAGAAGACAAGATTAGAGAAAAAAGGGTAAAAAGGAATGAGCAAAGTCTCCAACAAATATGGGAGAAAAGACCTAATCCACGTTTGATAGGTGTACCTGAATGTGACGAAGAGAGTGAATCCAAACTGGAAAATACACTTCAGGATATTATTCAGGAAAACTTTCCCAACCTAGCAAGGCAGGACAATATTCAACTCCAGGTAATACAGAGAACACCACAAAGATATCCCTCAAGAAGAGCAACCCCAAGGCACATAATAGTCAGATTCACCAAGGTTGAAATGAAGGAGAAAATGCTAAGGGCAGCTAGAGAGAAAGGTCAGGTTACCCACAAAGGGAAGCCCATCAGACTCACAGCAGATCTCTCAGCAGAAACCCTACAAGCCAGAAGAGAGTGGGAGCCAATATTCAACATCCTTAAAGAAAAGAACTTTCAACCCAGAATTTCATATCCAGCCAAACTAAGCTTCATAAGTGAGGGAAAAATAAAATCTTTTGTGAAAAGATTTCATCACCACCAGGCCTGCTTTACAAGAGCTTCTGAAAGAAGCACTACACATAGAAAGGAACAAACAGTATTAGCCATTCCAAAAATATGCCAAAAGGTACAGAGCATCAACATAATGAAGAATCTACATCAACTAATGGGCAAAACAGCCAGCTAGCATTAAATGGCAGTATTAAACTCAAGTATATTAATATTAATCCTAAATTTAAATCGACTAAATGCCCTAATCAAAAGACACAGACAGGCAAATTGGATAAAAAGCCAAAACCCATTGGTATGCTGCATCCAGACCCATCTCACATGCAAGGATACACAAAGACTCAAAGGGATGGAGGAAGATTTACCAACCAAATGGAGAGCAAAAAAATAATAAAATAAAAAGCAGGAGTTGCAATTCTCGCCTCTGATAAAATAGACTTTAAAGCAACAAAGATCAAAAGAGGCAAAGAAGGACATTACATGATGGTAAAAGGATCAATGCAATAAGAAGAGCTAATGATCCTAAATATATATGCACCCAATACAGGAGCACCCAGATACATAAGGCAAGTGCTTAATGACTTATAAAGAGACTTAGTCTCCCACACAATAATAGTGGGAGACTTTAACATCACATTGTCAACATTAGATCAACGAGACAGAAAATTAACAAGGATATCCAGGACTTGAACTCAGACCTGGAACAAGTAAACTTAATAAACATTTACAGAACTCTCCACCCCAAATCCACAAAACATACATTCTTCTCAGTACCACATCACACCTACTCTAAAAGTGACTACATAATTGGAAGTAAATCACTCCTCAGTAATTGCATAGCATTTCACAGGTTCAAATGAAATATTGGTTGGCTGCTTGTTTGTTATTTTCCTCCCTTATTCCTTCCTGTCTCCATTGTTAAGCACAATTATTGGCATAAAAGAGGTTTTTAATACCCATTTTTAGACGGCATTCTAGGCTGGGCAATAAAGCAAGATTCCCGTTCTCTCTCCCTCTTTCTCTTCCTCTTTCTTTCTCTCTTTCATTCTTTTTTTTTCTTTCTCTCTTTTTTTCTTTCAAAAAAAAGTAAGCAGAACATTTGAAGTTTCACATTATGTAAATATTAAAAAAAAAAAAAAAAAAATCTTAGGCATAGCTTGACAGTGAGAAATGCATTTATATTCCCCTCCAGAACAGCTTCCTTATAACTCAAAGACACTTTTAAAAAGTATTTTATTTGACAAAAACTATAGCAAAATTAAATCTTGAGGAGGTAGATCTACTTTTATATATAGTTTACTAATATGGACATTAAAAAAATTATTTTATGGGGAGGTATTTTGAGAGTATATAAATATTTCATGCCACTTAGACTCTCACCCACTAGTTTTAGTATCTGTGGATGTTTCTTGATTGTTTATTATTTTGGTCTATTGTGTTTACTTCATTTATATGTCATCATTCTGCTACAGAGAAAATCTTTCTCTTTTCTTCATTTACTTACGGTTTAAAAAATTTATATCACAATGAATACATAGGTTCTATTTTATTCAACAAGTTCCTTAAAAAAAAAAAAAAAAGAGAGAGAGAATTAGAGCCTCACCGCCTCCCCCACTCCACTGAGTGATTCATTTCTAATGAATAAAAGAAAGCAGAAGTGACAGTGTATGACTTTGGACACAAGTTCATCGAGACCCTGTGGCTTCCTCCTTGCTGTCCTCTGGATAACTTACTCTGGGGGAAGTCAGATGCCATCTCCTGAGGACATGTAAGCAGCCCTCCAGAGAGGCCCATGCATGAAGAATTGAGACCTCCTGTCAATAGCGATGTGAAGAGGATCTTCCAGACCCAGTCAAACCTTCAGATGATTGCAGCCCTGGCAGAAATCTTGACTGTAACCTCATGAAAGTGCCAGAGTCAGAACCAGCCAGCTAAGCTGATCTCAAATTCTTCACCCACAGAAACTGAGATAGTAAATATTTATTTTGAAGCCAGTAGGTGTGGGAGTTAAATTGTTAAGCAGCCATAGATAAGTGATACACTGGTTTGAACAGTCTATCACTTGTGACCAAAAGGATTCTAATATACTGCCATCCTCCTTTTATAAAATGAGGAAATCAATGTTCAGAAAAGTGAAATGACTTGTCCACAAAGCTGGTGAATGACAGAGCTAGGATTTGAACCCAGGTCTGTCTGGCTTCAAAGCCCCCAAATGTGTCTCAAACATCCCAGCTTACGGCCTTTAGGGCAGCTTTGAAGAGATTACACAGAAACCAGGGAGGACAGAGGCAAGAGTTAAATAAAAGCAAGCCTTTAACTCTCATGAGCACTGAAATGCATAGACGGAGCCTGAAAAGGTCACAGCTACACAGAGAGAACACTGTACAACTCCAAGTGCTTCCCACTTTCTCAGCTTCTAGCTCTGGGTAGGGCCTCTCCTTACCGCTTAGGAACCAAGTCCCATCCCATGATGGCAGGGCAGCCTTTGACCACAGCTCAGCCCACAGCTTTTACATTCCCAAGTGGTTTCACATCCACTGTTTGATCAGAGCCTCCCAAACACCCCTAAGAAGTAGGATGGGTCGGGTTTATCCTTGTATCTTCAGAAGAAGAAACAAGCCTGCAGGTAATGTGCTCAGCCTTGAGGCAGGCAACAGCAGGACCAGGGCCCAGCCTAGAACTGAATCCATGTCGGTACTAGAGGTAGAACGAAGGCCTCCAACCCCCAGAGTACACATTGAATCAACCTTTTGCTTGGCCTAGACTAGCCCAGAGCTTTTCCTTCTCCCAGCACCCTGAGCCAGAAGGTGTGTGTCATGTCATAATGTCAACACCTTGGACAGACAGAGTTAGGTTCTACTCCTGGCCCAACACTTAACACCTGTGAGAGCAAGTCAATCACTAAACCTTAGCTTCCTCAGTCATAGGATGGATCATGCATCTCTCACAACTGTTACAAAGATCAGTGATACTCAGAGTGGTAAGTGCAAGTAAGTGACTTAATAAATGGTGGCTGCCTTCTATGTCATTGTTGACCAAGGTACCTTGTCCCTTGCCTACATATAGCATGTGAGGCATGATGCCAAGAATGTCCTGTCCCCAAGCCACGTGTTAGCAACGACGACGAAAGTGGCAAGGACAGGGCCAGGTGCTGAGGCAGGAGGTGACAGCTTTGCCTCTTCATTTTTTTTATTTTTATTTTTTGAGACGGAGCTTCACTCTTGTTGCTCAGGCTGGAGTGCAATGGCACCATCTGGGCTCCCTGCTACCTCCACCTTCCAGGTTCAAGAGATTCTCCTGCCTCAGCCTCCTGAGTAGCTGGAATTACAGGCATCTGCCACCACGCCCAGCTAATTTTTCGTACTTTTAGTAGAGATGGGGTTTCACCATGTTGGCCAGGCTGGTCTTGAACTCTGACCTCTGGTGATCTACCTTTCTCGGCCTCCTAGAGTGCTGACATTACAGGCGTGAGCCACTGCGCCCAGCCAAGACTTTTGCCTCTTTCACTTTCAACCCTGGCCTCATTTCAAAGGCCTGACCAATTTCTCACCAAAATCACAGCCATATTTCTCCCAACTGGGATCGTATAGGGATCAAGTGACAATCTTTCAACCCCACCAACCAGCTGCACAGAACAAGGTGCCTCTTGAGGTCCTTATAAGTAAAACATTTGGTCCAACAAGACAGTGCCCCAGGGAAATTGGTCATAGGCTGGCCTTGGAGGCAGATGACCTAGGCCTAGAGTAGACATCCAGGCCTCTTCCTACTTACTCCTCAGCTGGCAGAACCTCCCTCCCTCCCTCCTTCCCTCCTTCCTCGCCTGGCATCTATCTAATCTATCTATCTGTCTTTCTATCTGTCTTTCTATCTATCTATCTATCTATCTAGATAATGCGCCTGGCCAGGGATGTATCATCTTATTACAAGGCCATAAACATGCAGCCTGCAGATTGCACTCAACTTATACACATGTCCAAGTTAACCCACCCAGTTACTTTTTAAATTATAATAAGGTTGGGTGCAGTGGCTCACATCTGTAATCCCAGAACTTTGGGAGGCTAAGGTGGGTGGAATCACTTGAGGTCAGGAGTTTGAGACCAGCCTGGCCAACATGGTGAAACCTCATCTCTACTAAAAATACAAAAAAAAATTAGCCAGGTTTGGTGGTATGTGCCTGTAATCCTCAGCTACTCAAGAGGCTGAGGTGGGAGGATCGCTTGAACCTAGGAGGTGGAGGTTGCAGTGAGCAGAGATCATGTCACCGCACTCTAGCGTGGGCAACAGAGCAAGACTCTGTCTCAAAAAACTAAAAATAAAAATAAAATTATAATGAGTTACCTGTATTTGAAAATTATTTCATATAGAGATCTTGGTATCTCTGGCTCTCCTGAAAGGTCAGAAGCCCTGTTCAGGTGGACCTGGGTTCCTAGGTGGCAACCAGCCCTTTACTCCTTCAGCTCTTCCAGTCCTTATTCAGCCAGCATCACTTATTTACCTGCCCAGCCCCTGTGGGTGTGTGGGTTCATGACTCTAATCTCAGGGAATACTCATAATCCTGAAGGGGGGTGCTATTACCTTCATTTCACAAAGGAGGAAACAAAGACACAGAAAAATTAAAGAATCTGTCTGGATTACACAACCTCTAAGTGGTGGGGCTGAGATTCAAACCAGGGTGTGTCCCGCTCCAAGGCCCAGACTCTTCCCACCACTCAGTCCTGCTGCTCTGCTGTGCTCCAGGGAGTCACTCCCCACTGTGGGCCTCAGTTTCTTTTTCTGTCAATAGGAAGAATGACTTCTGTACTGTAGAGGACCCCATGAGTGCCTCCAAGAGGGCAGACAGGCAAGCACTTTGTAAACTCTGGCAAGACCCCTGGCCTGAGGTAGAAGAAAGAACCCACCTTCTTGGGCAGGAAGTGAACCCCAACGGGGTACTTGTCAGGGTGAGTCCACAGCTCAATCTGCGCCATCACCTGGTTGGTGAAGGAGTTACTCATCACGAAGCTGGGGTGGCCCATGGCACAACCCAGATTGACCAGCCGACCCTCCGCCAGCAGGATGATGCGGCGCCCATTCTTCAGCCGGTACCGGTCCACCTACATGCAAGCAGAGTGACAGTGAGGGCAGGCAGGGCCCTGCTCCGACAGCCCACCCCTGCCACAGCCCACCCTCTGGTCATGAAGGCTTCCCTGCCTCCAACAGTGCCCATGAGGCGTCTGAACTGCCCCCAAAACAGCCTCTAGCACATGGCCTGACACAAACAGTAACAGCCGATATTTATTAAGAAACGCTGAGCTGCAGAACACACAGTTCTGCTATTAGAACTTTATGTGCTGACACTTGTAACATGCTTGGCACACATGAGGTACTTAGTAAGCGGCAGCTAATGTTATTGTTCTGATTACTGTCATGTGCCCTGTACTAAGTCCTTTACAGGGGATTATCACATTTTGTCCCAAAAACAAGCCTATGATGTCAGTACTGCTGTCATCCCCATTTCAGACTCAGAAAATGAAGTTTACAAGGGTTAAGTCACTTGTCCAGAGCCACACACTTAGAGGTGGCACAATTTGAGTCTGGACGGTCTGAAGACAAATCCCATGTTCTCAATAACCATGGAACAGTTCAATGCAGTTTGTGGTGGGGCACGGTGGCCTCATGCCTGTAATCTCAGCACTTTGGGAGGCCAAGGCAAATGAGTCATGAGATCAGGAGTTCAAGACCAGCCTGACTAACATGGTAAAAGCCCGTCTCTACTAAAAATAGAAAAATTAGCTGGATGTGGTGGCATGTGCCTGTAGTCCCAGCTACTCAGGAGGCTGAGGCACGAGAATCGTTTGAACTCGGGAAGCAGACAGTGGGCCGAGATCGTGCCACTGCACTCCAGCCTGGGCAACAGAGCAAGACTCCATCCCAAAAAAAAAAGCTGAATGCTGTGGCACTCACATTGGAATCACCTCAGAAGCTCTAAAAAATGAGGATACCCTGGCCTCATTCCCAGAGCTTCCTATTCGTGTAACCCACAGTGTGGCTCCCAGGTGACTGCCAGGTTGAGAACTCTCGGTTTAGTAGGTAAGTGAAGGTGAAGTGGAAATCCCCGGCCTCAGTGCCCCAGTCCTCCGTCTGTCCCAGCTGTCTGAACACACAAACTTACTTTCTCCCCACTCCCAGCTCTTCCCTTGCCATCCCTCCACCCTCACACAGCCTCCTGAACATTTCCCCAAAAGCCCAGGTTTCCAAACTGCGTCAGAGGCCTAGTACCGGTCCAAGGAAAGGTCTCTGATGCCCATCAAGCATTATTAATGCTTCAGCCAATAAGCACTCACTGATACCCATCTAAGCCCCTTGCAGGGACACATCAACCTGAACTCTACCCTCCTGATAAAACAGTCGGGGCAGAGACCAAAGCCAGTGATGGATGCTGCACTAGGGGTCTATAGTAGAGTGTGGGCATTGCCTCTGCCAGAGAAGCTGGCCAGGAAAGGGGTCTCTTTTTATGAATTGTTTTTTTTTTTTAATGGAGTTTTACTTTGTCGTCCAGGCTGGAGTGCAGTGGCGTGATCTCAGCTCACTGCAATCTCCACCTCCCGGGTTCAAGCAATTCTCCTGCCTTAGCCTCTGGAGTAGCTGCGACTACAGGCACCAGCCACCATGCCCGGCTAATTTTTTGTATTTGTAGTAGAGATGGGGTTTCACCATGTTGGCCAGGCTGGTCTCCAACTCCTGACCTCAAGTGATCCGCCTACCTTGGCCTTCCAAAGTGCTGGGATTACAGGTGTGAGCCACCATGCCTGGCCAGAAGGGGATCTCTTGAGCAGGGCTAAGAAGATGGATAAAGAAAAGGGCATATGTTCTGTTCCAAACAAACGGAGCTGTCTGGACAGATGAGCAGAAGCAGGAGCTGCAGTGGGTATTCAGGGAGTGGTCAAATACAGCTGAGTGCAGAGATCCTTGACAGGACAGATAAGAGATAAAGCTGGGCAGAAAGCTGGCAAGACTGTCAAGGATGTTGAGGTGGGAAGAGTCCAGCTTTGGAGGGCAGCTTGGCAGAAGGATGCCCATCACCCCAGTGTAGCCCTGTGATGCCTTTGCAGGAGGAGGTCTGGCTGGCTCTCAGGGGTGTGGCTGCCGTGGAAGCATGCCCTGCCCGCCCCCACACTGTGATGAGTGCCAGGCCTTCTAGGCAGAGATGGAGGTGGCCTCTGCATAGCCAGGAATTGACACCCTAGACTAGCGCAGGACCTAGCCAAGGAGAACTCCCACACAGGAACAGAGGGCCAGAGGGAAGCAGTGTAGGGGATGTGAGTTCACAGAGCTGCCTGTCTGCCTCTCTGGTACTTGGGCTTCTGGTGTGGCTGTGACTGGGTGGGTGTCAGGGCTTTGGCCAATTCTGTGTCTATATCTTCCATACCATATCTCAAAGACAGCACAGCATCAACTCAAAGAACCTCACATTAAGTGGGCTTTTCTCCCTTTAAAAAATGTGATGGGCCTGGTGCAGCAGCACATGACTATAATCCCAGCACTTTGGGAGGCCAAAGTAGCAAGATCGCTTAAGCTCAGGAGTTTGAGACCAGCCAGGGCAACACAGCAAGACCTTGTCTCTACAAAAAATAAAAAATTAGCCAGGTATAGTAGTGCACACCTGTAGTCCCAGGTATTTGGGAGGCTGAGACAGGAGGATCAAGGCTGCAGTGAGCCATGATCATGCCACTGCCCTCTAGCTTGGGTGACAGAGTGAGCCCATCTCAAAAAGAAAAAAAAGTGATGAATATCTCTATATATATAACACTTACTTAATTATCTCCTGAGGATCAATTACAGGAGAGATTGCCCAGTCAAAGAGTTTGCTTAACTTTTTTTTTTGAGACAGTCTCGTTCTGACGCCCAGGCTGGAGTACAGTGCTGTGATCTTGGCTCACTGCAACCTCTGCCTCCCGGGTTCAAGCGATTCTCCTGCCTCAGCCTCCTGATTAGCTGGAATTACAGGCGTGCAGCACCATGCCTGGTTAATTTTTGTATTTTTAATAGAGACAGGGTTTGACCATGTTGGCCAGGTTGGTCTCAAACTCCTGACCTCAAGTGATCCGCCCGCCTTGGCCTCCCAAAGTGCTGGTATTACAAGTGTGAGCTACCGCGGCAGGCCGTGTTTGCTTAACTTTAAAGCTCTTGATATCCAAAGCCAAAATGTCTTCCAGAAACATATTACTTTTATAATCAGAGAAAAAAATGAACCCATAATAATTACAACTCAAGTAAAATGTCATACCCCCAACAAGAACTCTTCTTCCAGTTTCAGTGCCCCAGTGCAAACCTATTCTTTCCCAGCTCAGTGCATGGGCCCGCTCCTCACACAGTGGTCCAACTCCTGACCTCAGGTGATCTGCCCGACTCAGCCTCCCAAAGTGCTGGGATTACAGGCGTAAGCCACCATGCCCAGCCCAGCTAATTTTTTTTGTATTTTTAGTAGAGATGGGGTTTCACCATCTTGGCCAGACTGGTCTCAAACTCCTGACTTCAGGTGATCTGCCCGTCTCAGCTTCCCAAGGTGCTAGGATTACAGGTGTGAACCACAATGCCTGGCCAAAGCTGTGTCCTTTGTGACTCCACCTTCACCCTGACCCCACATGCCATCCAACCATCCCCAGCACTCCCCAAGGCAGCCATCGTCCCCTGCAGGGACTGTAAAAGCCTCCCTCCCCACCACTCACCGTCATTGCTTTCAATCTGCACACAGTAGTTAGAGTGATCTTTCTAAAACTACAGCCTCACCACATACAGCTCACCTGCCTGATAACCTTCAGGGATGCCGGCTGCCCTCGAGATAAGGTTGCCATCTCCAGCTGGCTCTGACACTAGGCCCTCTTCTCCCCATCTCACTGCACAGGTTGCCACAGTCTCCTCAGCTCCCCTCCCTGGCAGCCAGCACTCCTCTGTGTTCCCATCTGCCCAGCCCGCTGGCAGGGTGGGAGCTTCTCACCTGCGGCTTGATGTTCACCTTCTCCACAGCATTCTCGTTGAGCCACTTGACATCGATCTCCACATCAAAGTGTCCAATGTTACACACGATGGCATCATCCTTCATTTGCTCAAAGTGCCTGTCAGGCAGCCCGAGACCATGGGAGATTGTCAGGGACAAAGAGCTGTCCCAACACTGCCCTCCTCCCTCACTCCCCAGGACTCCCAAGGGGCACCTACCGGCCAAGGATGATGTCAACACAGCCTGTGGTGGTGACGAAGATATTGCCTTCCTGACAGGCCTCATCCATGGTGGTCACTTCATAGCCTGTGCAGAGACAGTAGCTGAGGGTCATCTACGGTGCCCATGCCCTTCCCTCTGGCTGCAGTGGCTGACAACCAACGCTTGCCCTATCCTACCCTCCATGGCGGCCTGCAGTGCGTTGATGGGGTCAATCTCGGTGATGATGACGCGGGCCCCGAAACCCCGCAGGGCCTGGGCACAGCCCTTGCCCACATCGCCATAGCCTGCTACCACTGCTACCTTGCCGGCAATCATCACGTCTGTGGCCCGCTTGATGCCATCTATGAGGGACTCCCGGCAGCCATAGAGGTTGTCAAACTTGCTCTGAAAGGAGAGGGAGTAAGGAGACAATGGGGGCCTGCAAGCAAGGCCCTGGGGCCAGGACCACTTGGCCTCAGAAGACTCAGAAGAGCCCAGGCATCGTGCACCCACTGAGCATCCCAGCCTGGGTGGAAACCCTCTAGCAGCCAATACCCCCACACGCCCTTCACCCCGATCGGCTCCAAGACCTTCTCTCTAATCCTTCTCTGCTGGTTTGGAGCCTTCCTGGGGATCAGTTACCAGGAGAGATTGCCTGGTCAAATACTTTGCTTAACTTGAAAGCTCTTCTTCCCAAAGCCATAAAGCTCCTAACACCCAACTCTGAGACCTCCTTTTAAATGCACTCATTAGCCTTGGTCTATAACCGCTTTTGCCCCCTCAAATGAGGGCTTCATGTCCCTAGCCTCAGCCTTCCGGGACACTCTTCCTCAGAGGCCTCACACTGAGCTGCAGCCACTGCAGTAGGAGCCGTCACTGCCCCCTGGCTCACCTTGGTGACAGAGTCATTGACGTTGATGGCAGGCACCTTCAGGATCCCATTGGCCATCATCTTGTAGAGGTTGTGGACCCCGGTCGTGGTCTCCTCAGAGATGCCTCGGATGCCTAAACAAGAGGGAATAGGACAAGCCTCAGAGACATCTCACCTGAGCGCACGCAAATTCCTCATCTTTGTCCCCTAAAGTCATTCCTCTTTCTGGGTTCCCATCTCTGTGACTGATCCCACAGGCCCCCCAATCACCCAGACCAGCATAAGCAAGGAGCCCCCGACGCCCTCCTAGGGAAAGCCACCGCCAGACCTAGTGACTCTGCCTCCCAACAACACCCAGCTTCTCCATTCTCACTGCTGCTGCCCTAGGCCCTGACCCTGTCTCCTGCCACAATACATCCTCCATGCAGCAGCCATTTCTAACATGTGTCTTCTCAGGGAAATCTTCTGAATGCCCTCCAATTATTTCCCCTTGCGCTGCGAATCAAACGCTTTTCTATTGGCCTGTTAGGTCTGAACACATCTGGCCTTCATGAAAGCTCACACCATATCCCATAATACCCCCAGTGAAGGCTCCCTTTGTTCACTGCTATCCTGCGGGCCTCTCTTCTGTTTCCTGAACACTCCAGCTTTTTCTGTATCCAGGCCTCTGTACTCCCTGTACTCCCCATGCCTGCTTTCAACAAACCTGGCTCCCTCTCAGCTATTCCCAGCCACAGCCCTGTGTCTGCCCTTGGGCTGTCAGCTCAGCCACCCTTGCCTCACACTCTGAAGTCAGGAGGCCCCGGCATGAATCCCAGAGCCTGCCATCCTCCCATCTTCTAGATCCTGCTGCTTGAGGCACTGGGAGTCCTGCCAGGCCTGCAGCCATCATGTGGGCAAGCAGGCCCCATCCAGTACCCAGCCCACCTGCCCCACCCTTCTCACCCGGCAGGAGCTGTGGGTACTTGGTGTGGATGAGGTTGGTGAGGTCGCCTCCGTCGTCCAGAATCATGTTGAGGGGCCCGTCCTTGAAGTACAGCGTCTGCTCAATGCACCACAGGTACTCCTCATCCGTTTCGCCCTTCCAGGCATACACTGGAGGGTGAGTGGCATATCAGGGCTTGGACTTCCCCAACCTGTACCCGCTCCCGGGAACAACCCTGGCAGAGCCAAAACTACCTCCTTCCCAATTCCCATCCTCAGCCTCCTCTGGCCCCTCTGGGGACTCAGCAGTAATAAGAATACAACTTGGAGCCAGATAGATCTGGGTTCAAATCCTGGCTCTGCCACTTGCCAGCTGTGTGACCTTGGGCAAATCACTTCACCTCTCTGAGCCTCAGTTTTCTCCTATATAAATAGGGCTTAGAACAGTATGGATTAAGTGAGACGGAAGCCATGTATAGCCCCTCAGATATAGAGATCAGGAAATAATTATTTCCTTTCCCATCCCCTTCTGCCTGGGCCCCAAGGACTAGGGCATCAACCCTGAGTGACCAGAGCTCCATGCCCCACAATGCCTCCCCCTCAGCTGGATCCACGAGGCAGGATCCATGGTTTGCTCTGCACTCAAAGGACTGTAGCACCAGCAGCCTCTGGGATGGGGGGAGTCTCAGGCAAAGTTTGGCCAAAAAATGACTAAGCGCAGCTACCATGTATGGGCACTTGCTTTCTGCCAGACATGACTCTAAATCCTTCATGTCCCATCTCGTTTTTCCTCATAGCAACCCTGTGAGGCAGCCATGACCATTATCAGCACTTACAGATGCCCAGAGAGGGGCTGAGACGCACTTGGGCCACTCCACATGAAATTCCAGAACAGACACCGGAACTAAGGGCTACTGCCTGCCAGTCCACACTCCTCCCATGTGGCATGACTAGGGCACAGGTGTGGGGTTCCCAGGAGCCTCTTGTGAGCAAAGGACGCTGGCCAAGCAGAGCCAGCTTCTCCTCCCCGCAACTGGAGCAGACAATGGTCTTAAAAATTGCAGTGAGCTGAGATCGAACCACTACACTACAGCCTGGGCAAAGGAGCAAGACTCCATCTCAAAAAAGAAAAAAAAAACAACAAGGCATTTCCCAGAAGAAAGCCATGGTGCCCAGCCAAGGCTGAGGAATGGGGACCATGCCCATTTAGCCCTGGTCAGTCTGTCAAGGAGCCCTGTACCACCCTCTCCTCTCTACCTATGGTTGTTAGAAGAAATCTTGAATGTCCTCTTTAATCACTGGGTCAGATCTAACCACTCCCCTCCCTAAATCCAAGCAGACATGTGCCCAGCCTGTGAAAACTCCTTTCTCATTAGTCTTAGTCCTTCCTCGGTCCTTTAACCGCCATACCCTAAGCAGTGAATCTTTTTCTTCCTTGTAGCCCTCCCCAGTTCTTTAGAAACAGATCCACATCCTTCCTTTAATGAACTTCCCTTCCTCTACATCATGTAGTTCCCAATAATAAGATCTTGCCCTTCCTGGTCACATGGCATGAGTTCGGTCAAAAAACAACTTCCACAGGATTTTAGATGATGATGGGACAAAGCAGCTCTTTCCTATGGGTGGCTGGGTAGGATTTTGTGGCCGTGACTCCTCTCCCCTGCTGTAGTGTAAGGAAGCCTGTTGCTGTAGCAGTCTGTGAAGCAAACAGAGCAGAGCCCCTTCATAAATCTCACGTGTCCCAGCAGTAAGCAGGACTCACCTGGAATGCCAGCCTTGGCAATGGCAGCTGCCGCATGGTCCTGGGTGGAGAAGATGTTGCAGCTAGACCACCGCACCTAGAAAGAGCCGTCAGAACAAGGCTGTTGGTCACTGATGGCTCAAAAACACCAGGAACGCTGGGCAAGGAAAAGGGAGAGCTCTTCAGGTAGGGGAAGAGGCTTGGGATCTAGGCACAGCAAGCTCTATGATCACAGGCTGGGGACGCTGGGTGGGTAGATGTGAGCCAGAGCAGTGATGAGATCCGACTAAGGTTTTGTTTTTTTATTTTTGGGGTTTTTTTTGAGACAGAGTTTCATTTTTGTTGCCCAGGCTAGAGAGCAATGCGTGATCTCAGCTCACTGCAACCTCCAGCTCCAAGGTTTAAGCAATTCTCCTGCCTCAGCCTCCCTAGTAGCTGGGATTACAGGCATGCCCCAGCATGCCTGGCTAATTTTTTGTATTTTTAGTAGAGATAGGGTTTCACCGTGTTAGCCAGAATGGTCTTGATCTCCTGACCTCGTCATCCACCCGCCTCGGCCTCCGAAAGTGCTAGGATTACAGGTGTGAGACACTGCGCCCAGCCCCGACTCAGGTTGTTATGCTGGTGCTGTGTGGAAGGGAAAGGGTGGAAACAAGGGGACAACTGAAGAGACTGTTGGAGAAGACTCCAGGCAAGAAATATGACAGTAGCAGTGGAGGTGATGAGAAGCTGTCCCATCCCGGGTCTACTCTGAAGGCTGCAGTGGCAGGATTTGTGAGGGATGAGTTGTTAAAGTAAAAGGGGTTGGGAGCAGGGAGCAAAGGGTGGGGAAGAGATGACTCCCAGATTCTTGAACTGAGGGAACCTAGAAGGCTGGAGTGAAAATTCCATTTATTCACATAGGGAAGGCTTCGGGAAGAGGAGGGGGCAGACAATCCTGAGTCTGTTTGAACGTGTTCTGCCTGAGACAAGTACTAGACCTCCAGGTAGTGTCAGCGCCCCCGCTCCTGGATATGCCAGTCCGGAGCTCCAGGAGAAGTCCAGGCTAGTACAAAAATGTGGGAGTCATCACCAGATAGATGGTATCTAAAGCTATACAATCAGACCAAGAGTGAATGCTGAAAGGAAAGGTCCAAGGACTGAGCCCTGAGTCCCTCTGTGGGTTCTGGCTGCAATGCCCTGCCCTGCTTTGGCAAACAGCTTGCTTCTTGACTCTCTGAGACTTTAGGAGACATGTCAATCATTGGCACACATGACCCAGGCTGAAAATCAGAGCTGCCATCATCCCGGCAGCCATGATGGGTCCAGGGCAGGCCTCTGACCCCCAGGAGGGCCAAGGCGAGCAGGCCCTTATAGGACTAAGTGGGACACAGGAGTTGAGTTTTTCCTGCCAGAGCATCAAACAGGAGGATGCCTTGAGGGCAGCCAACAATTACCTTCCAGACAGGGAGAAAATCTGCACAACACTCACCACAAAGGATGGCAGCACCGGGAAACAGGGAGGAAACCCAACGAGAGGGAGGAGCCCCGCCAGGCCCAGGGTCGGCACCACACCGGGACGGTCCCCACCCCGGTACAGTCGTCTTCTTCCCTGGCTGAACCCAGGGAGGGCAAGAACTCTGGGGTGATACAGCTGTGGGCCTCACCTCAGCACCCAAGGCGACCAGGGTCTCAATGAGGACAGCCGTCTCCACCGTCATGTGCAGGCAGCCGGCGATGCGGGCGCCCTTCAGCGGCTTGGAAGTTGAGTACCGCTCACGCATGCGCATCAGGCCCGGCATCTCATTCTCCGCAATGTTCAGAGCCTTGCGTCCCCAGTCAGCCAGGCCGATGTCAGCTACCCAGGGAAACAGGTGGGAGTTGGGTAAGCCTCCTCGGCGGTCACTGTGTGGACCCCAGTCCACGTGTGGAGTCCATACACTAGGGCTTAGCACTCTGTCACCGCATTCTCTAAATCATTCAACAAGTACTTATGAATCCAGAGTACTCAAGAAAGACAAGGTCCCTGCCTACCAGCACCTTTCTGACTTGTGGGAGAACACATGTAATCAATCACACAGGGACACAAAAATTACAACACAAAGAAGTGCCCCTTTGAAAAACAGCTCAGATGATACTGCCCACTACCCTCCTTTCTGCTGACACCCACCAACCTCCAGGTCACTCCTCACTCCCTAAATATGTTAGCTGCTGGGTCTCCATCTTCCTCTCTGTCATCACTCTCCGTGATTCAACGCTCATAAATACTATCTAACGCCTTGGATTTGACAGTTCCTTGATCTCATTTTAGATGTGAAAATGCTTCCTCACTCCTGAGTTTCTTTCCACCTGGAGGAACTCACCAGTATAACTAACACTCTTGGCATCTCTGCCCCAGTGGGGGGTGGGGTGAGCTTGTCTGACCAGTAAAACTCAGAGGAATAAATGGTGTGCTCAGTTTAGCTCTCTCTTCTTTTTGCAAGCAGCACCCACCTGCCCACTTGCAGGAAGCCGCTGTTCTCTGCTTTTCCAGAGATCAACCTATCCTGGCCCACCTTGCCTGCAACTAACTGGTTGGGTAACTGCTGAATCTGGGAGTTCAGTCAGCAGAATCATTTGGATTTCATACTAATCTACATCCTCTGGCTTCGAGGTTATTAGAAATAAAAGGTGTATTTCGGGTGCTGTCTGCCACCTAAAATGTCTCAAATTTGTTCAAATTCTCAGGCAGGAAAGGATACTATTATGAGCTAACTCACTATCTCAATACTCTTCCCTCTGATCATCTCACTTTCCTCTCTCCCCTACCACACTAGTCCATTTCCAAGGTCATACCCTACCTAGGTCAGTACCTAGATCAAAGTTTGCAGACTTCCCTAATAAGGGATGTTCCTTTGGCATGCTTGTAAATCTCCCCTGGAAAATCTGATTCAGCAGGTCTAAGACTCCCGATGATTTTTATCTTTAGGGAAGCTTAGATCCTGCCAATCACCCAAAGAGGTAGACGATGACAGGCAAACGACTCTGGAGATAATTTAATAATCTAATAATTTAATAATCAATAAAACTGTCTAAGTCAGCCAGCTTCCTACAGTGCATTGAAACAATTTCAGAGATGAAACATGCCTCCCCCATGAGAGAACACTCCTGCTGTGCCTCAACTCAAGCCCTTCTCTATACCACCCTACCCCAGCCCTCCTACCCTGGTAGGCCATCTCCAATGATAGCACTCCTTGGAAATCTGGACTTCAAGCACCCAACTCTACCCATGTCTCATCTTTCCAGTTTTCTCCCTCTAGAGCCCCAGCTCCAACAAGGCTGTGGCCTGTCAGGTCAGAACTTCTATTCCACTCATCCTACCAGTTTCTACTGTCCCTTCTGCCTTCTGCCCTCTTTCCCTTTGAGAACTCACTTGGCAAAACTCTCAGCCCAATTAAACCTGACCCTCCACTGCACCGGAGCCACTGAACCCAGCAGGAGGACAATCACAGCCACACCAAGACATCACATTCATTCATTCATTCACTCATTCATTTACAGAAGTCTGGCTCGGTAGCCTAGGCTGGAGTGCAGTGGTACAATCTCGATTCACTGCAACCTCCGTCTCCTGGGTCCCAGTTCAGGCAATTTTTTATTTGCTGAAAACTCATTAGGATTGTTCCGCGTGTATTCGCTTGCGCAGTGGTGAAAAGGGTGGTACGCTCACAGGTCTAGATGGCCTGCCTTCCAATCTTGCTCCATCACCACCAGCTGTAAGACTGGGGGCAAGTTACCTCTGACTCAGGATTCTCACCATAAAACGGTAACAGTCTCCCTAGAGAGCCATGAAAATAGAACAAAGCTAGACGGCAGTGCCGAACCCACAGGAAACGCTAAGTAAACGTTAACTATCCCTGGATCACACTTCAATCGGTGGGACAGCAGGATTTTTCCAACCACTTCTGTTGGCGGGGTGGGGGATCCCACAGATTGGGTAACTGGCCCAAAGTCCCCGGGGAGAGGACCGGAGCCGGCCTGGGGCTCGCTTTCCAGGCCTCTCCTCATACACCCTCCGAAGCTCCAGTGCCCTCGCCATCCCTGTAGGAGGCCCAGAGAGGGGTGGACCCTCGTCGGGGCCGCCCAGCTGGACAGGGTCCGGTCCAGGCACAGGAGGCAGGGCGAAAGTCCCCTGAGCAGAGTCCGGCAGGTGTCCGCCGTTCCAGGCCGCGGCCGGGTGTGCTCTCCCTCAGAGCACGCCGCCAATTTGCGGCTCTCAGCCCGCGCGGCCGCCCCCGACGTCGCGGGGCACGCTGGGACTCGTAGTCCGCGGCCACCCGGGAGGGTCGGCTTATGGCCGCGCGAGAACTCCAACTTCCAGGTGGCTTGGCGCGGCCAGGAATGCGCCCAGCCTGCGATTTCACGGGGTCCAGAGCGCCCGGAGTCGGCCCTGCGGTACCCGCCCCGTGCACGCGCTGAGTGGGCGCCGAGCAGCTGCAGCCGGCTGCAGGTCCTGGGACTCACCGACTTTGTAGGGCAGTTTGTCAGACATGCTGGCGACGCTGGTGACGGGCACGGGCGAAGGGGGCTGGGCCTCAGTCAGAGAACAGACACTGGACGGGCGACGCGGGGCAGGGATATGCTCGTGGCGCCGGCTCCTTTAAATATCTTCCTGGTACTTGCATATTCATGATCCGCTGGGGCGGGGCCCAACGCGCAGGGCGGGGCCAGAGAGGATCTCGATCTCTGCAGAGAAGCCGCAGAATTTCACAAAGTCTGGCCTCGGGGACCTCACGCACCGGTCCGGAAGGGAGCACCGGGAGAGGCCTGAGACCCAGCCGGACCGTCCTCTTGCAGGTTCAGCCAATTAATTCAATGTCAAAACCAAGCGGAACTGAAATTCCGCTAGTTCACTTCCCTGTGCCTCAATTTCCTAATCTGTAAAATGGGCCGAATGACACCTACCACACAGATTATTATAAGCAAAGTTGCAGGCCAGGCGCGATGGCGCTCACCTGAAATCCCAGGACTTTGGGAGGCCAAGGCGGGAGGATCACTTGAGCCCAGGAGTTACAAGACCAGTCTGGGCAACATAGGAAGACTTCACCTCTACAAAAAAAAAAAAAAAATCTTTTAAATTAGGCGGGCGTTGGGGTGCGTACCTGTAGTCCCAGCTACTTGGGACGCTGAGGCTGAGGGAGGATGGCTTGAGCCTGGAGATCGAAGCTGCAGTGAGCTATCATCCTGCCACTGGACTCCAGCCTGGGCAACAGAGCAAGACCCTGTCTCAAAAAAAAACAAAAACAAAGTAAAGTTGCCATTTGTCAGGTACCTACCTGACATCCCAAACATTCACCTTACCCTAAGTAACTACCACCCTGAATTTAGGTAAGTTTGCATGCATTTCTAATACTTTTACTGCATATGTATGTCATTAAACAATTCTTTCTGTGTTTAATACCTTTATATATCAACCGTATTTACCCTTCTGCAATTTGCTTTTCTCTGTGAGCATTATATTCCTGAGAGTCATGCATATAGCTGGAATATACTCATTTCTCTGCTGCGTATTGTTCAGTCATCCCTAGGCATGGGAAGCAGGGATTGGTTTCAGGACCGCTGTGGACTCCAAAGCCCTTCTATGCTCAAGTCCCTCATATAAAATCAGGTAGTATTAGGCTAGGCGTAGTGGCTCATACCTGTAATCCCAACACTTTGGGAGGCTGAGGTGGGTGGATCACCTGAGGTCAGGAGTTTGAGACCAGCCTGACCAATATGATGAAACCCCTGTCTCCACTAAAAATACAAAAATTAGCCAGGCATGGTGGCAGGCACCTGTAAGCCCAGCTACTGGGAAGGTTGAGACAGGAGAATCGCTTGAACCCGGAAGGCAGTGGTTGCAGTGAGCCAAGATTGCACTATGGCACTCCAGCCTGGGCAACAAGAGCAAAAGTCTATCTCAAAAAAAAAGAAAGAGGTAGTATTGGCATATAACCTACGCATATTCCCCGTACACTTTAATCATCTCTAGATTACTTATGGCTAATAATTGTAAATGCTATGTAAATAGTTGTTTTGTAATTTATATTATTTTTATAGTTATGTGTTTTTTTTTTAAATGCTTTTTTTCCCTTGAAATTTTCTTTTTTGTTTTTTGAGATGGAGTCTCACTCTTTTGCCCAGGCTGGAGTGCAGTGGCATCATCTAGGCTCACTGTAACCTCCGCCTCATGGGTTTAAGCGATTCTCCTGCTTCAGCTTCCCGAGTAGCTGGGACTACAGGCACTCACCACCACACCCAGCTAATTTATTTATTTATTTATTTTTTCTGTTTTTGAGACAGAGTTTAACTCTTGTTGCCCAGGCTGGAGTGCAATGGTGTGACCTCAGCTCACTGCAACCTCCACCTCCCGGGTTCAAGCAATTCTCCTGCCTCACTCTCCCAAGTAGCTGGAATTACAGGTGTGCACCACTATGCCTGGCTAATTTTGTATTTTTAGTAGAGATGGGGTTTCACCATGTTGGTCAGCTGGTCTCAAACTCCTGACCTCAAGTGATCCACCTGCCTTGGCCTCCCACGGTGGTTGGATTACAGGCGTAAGCCATTGCGCCTGGCCTTGAAGACCTTTTTAATATCTATCTGGGAATTCCTCCACCCCTCATGCCACCCCCACCCTTGCCCTCAATCCTCCCAATGCCCTCCCCTCACACTCTTGTCTCCTTTCTCTCCTTCTCAAGCTTTTTCAGAGATGTCTGCATTCTCGGTCTGCTCTTCATCTTCTCCCTCCAGTTCTCAGCTGTGTGGCCTCCAGCCCCAGGTCTCCGCTGAAACTGTTCCAGCCAAGGTCATCAGGGAACCTGTCAGAATGTCTTGTGCCTCAGCCTGCATCCCAACCCACCTCCCCACTACATACCTCCTGCTCTGGCCTTAAACTCTCCTGACTCTCCTTCCATGGTTCCTTCTCGTACAGCACCTTCGAGGGTTGGTGTTTTTTTTTTCCTCTTACTCTGCTCTCTACCTCACACTTATGGCTGCTGTGGCCACTTACATCCAGTTGATCCATGGATCCATGGAATAAAACACTGCCTCGCCCCAGAACTCTTTTTTAAAGAGACAGAGTCTCATTCTGTCATCCAGGCTGGAGTGGGGTGACATAGTCATAGCCCATGGCAGCCTCAAACTCCTGAACTCAAGCAATCTTCCCACCCCAGGCTCCCAAGGAGCTGGCATTACAGGCATGTGCCACCATACTCAGCTAATTTATTTTATTTTTTGTAGAGACGGGATCTCACTTTGTTGCCCAGGCTGGTATTGAACTCCTGGCTTTGAGGGATCCTCTTGTCTTGGCCTCCCAAAGTGTTGGGATTACAGGCCTGAGTCACTGCACACAGCCCTGCTTCGCTGCTGAATCACATGCTCCTTCTTCCCACCCCTGGAGTTACCACAACAGTGATTTTTGATTTTTGTCTTAATAATTCCTTTGCTTTTTTTTTTTTTTTTTTTTTAAAGACACAGGGTCTCACTATGTTGCTCAGGCTAGTTTCAAACTCCTGGGCTCAACTTCCTTTCCTTTTCTTTTCTTTTCTTTTTTGAGGCAGTGTCCCTCTGTCACCCAGGCTGGAGTGCAGTGGTGCAATCTCAGTTCACTGCAACATGCACCTCCTGGGATCAAGCGATTCTCATGATTACAGGTGCACACCACCACACCTGCCTAATTTCGTATTTTCAGTAGAGACGGGGATTTCACCGTGTTGGTCCAGGCTGGTCTCGAACTCCTGACCTCAAATGATCCACCCGCCTTGACCTCCCAAAGTGCTGCTATTACAGGCATGAGCCACTGCACCTAGCCCTCTCCTATAATGTCTTAAAGTTTTATAATTCAAACATGTATGTGGTGTGAGGTAGAAATCCTATCTTTTTTTTCCATACTAAGCAATTGTCCCAACAACACTTAATAAACAGTGCATCCTTCCCCCAGTGACCTGCAGTGCCATCTCCATCACTGATTAAGTGTCCATGAACACTCCAATCTGTGTCTATGCCTATTCTCTATTCGGATGCCTTGATCTATGCTAATTCTACACTGTCAAAATTACCTAGAGCTTCATAATAAATTTTGACTTCTCTTACCTGGTAAGAGAAGTCCCCACACCTTGTTCTTTAAGAGCGTCTTGACTGTCTTAGATGTTTACTCATCCACATAATTTTGGAATCATCTGTCAAGTTCTACAGGAAAAAGCATTTTTGGAATTTTTACTGAAATTGTATTCATATATAAATTATTTTGGGTGAGAATCAACATCTTTACCTAATTGAATATTCTAATTCATTAACATAGTATGGTATATATATTTTTTTTCTCCATTTATGTAGATAGTCTATTTTCTTTTTTTGAGATGGAGTTTCACTCTTGTTACCCAGGCTGGAGTGCAATGGCGCGATCTCGGTTCACTGCAACCTCCGCCTCCTGGGTTCAGGCAATTCTCCTGCCTCAGCCTCCTGAGTAGCTGGGATTACAGGCACGTGCCACCATGCCCAGCTAATGTTTTGTAGTTTTAGTAGAGACAGGGTTTCATCATGTTGACCAGGATGGTCTCGATCTCTTGACCTCGTGATCCACCCACCTCGGCCTCCCAAAGTTCTGGGATTACAGGCTTGAGCCACTGCTCCTGGCTATTTTCTTTTTTTTGAGATCGAGTCTTGCTCTTGTCACTCAGGCTGGAGTACAATGATGCAATCTTGACTCACTGCAACCTCCGCCTCCCAGGTTCAAGCAATTCTCCTGCCTCAGCCTCCCAAGTAGCTGGGATTACAAATGCGAGCCACCACACCCAGCTAATTTTTTTTTTTTTTTAAAGTCAAGAACTTATTTTATTTTATTTTAAAATAAACATTGAAGATACCCCATTTCCCACCACCCTACAAAACTTTTGAATGTGGAATGTTCAACAGCCTATCCATTTTGGTAGGTTACAAAACCAACAAAAACTCCAGTTGTCTAATGATGAATGTTTGAGAATAGTTTTGTTTTTAAATAGCTGAGCACCTACTGGAAAAATTCCTTGGCTAAATGCTGAAAATAAAATTTAATTTTTGCACAGAAAATACCATTAACTTAGTAGCCTTTGCTTAAAGGTGGGATTAATTCTCCATGAAGTCAGAATGAGACAATAAGCAGCATTAAGTTCATAGGCACACAGAACTAGTGCTCAAACTGCTAGCACAAATTCCAACAGAGTACATAAGGCTAAGTTACTACTCAAGTGTC